TAAAATGAAGTAAGTAAGCTTAACCAGAGTCCCGACGATTTGCTGTTGAAAAACGTGTACCAAACCTATGGGGGAACTAAATATTCAAAAACCAATTTAATAAATAGGTGATCACGTCATCATAAAGTCATAAATTAAACAAAATTCTTTTGTCGAGGTCTTAGTTGGCTGTAGTTTAAATGACGATCAAACATCGGGAATTTACCAAAACGGTCACTTGAAAATGTGTATGGGCTGAAATAATTTTTTTTAAATCAATAACAAATCAGATGACGACGTTCATCCCTTTGAAATAATTATTGTATCAGGATCTTTGCGATCGATCAAACATGGCGAAGTTACCATACTGGTGGCTTAAAAGCGTACAAAGTCAATGGCCAAAACACATGCAGAAAAACTGCTCCTTCAAGTTGATGTAACGTGATTCGCGTTGAAACTGAAAGATTTTAATATTATTTAATATTATTTGATATTTTGACTCTTAGGGATATTTTTAATCGAATGAAAGGGAAAGTTTAGTATGATTTCTCTTTCGTTCTGGTAATAATTCTCGGTCGAAATTAATAGTGTTTAGTATAAAGTGTATAAACCCTAAGGCAAACAAATATTCAGTATTGAACAATGAATCACGCAATAACGTCATCATCACAATTTATTCTTAAACCCTCTCTAACTGTTGGGCTAAGAATCTTGACCTAACGCCCATCAGGTCAGGTCGAGAACGGTGGGAAGGAGAAGGCCTCCGGCGTCTCTGAACGTGGGAAATTCAGCCATGCTGTGGCCAGTCTCCAGAGAAGGGGGGACGCAAGGGGATTGGGAGAGTCAGCGATCAGATCAGCCATGTTATCTTGTTGTCGAGGACAGTGAAGAGAGAGTCGTTTATGTACCATTTTTCTTAAAAGAGATTAAGATTGGAATTAAGGTGATGGTAGTGAAACTCGAGAACGATTTTGGATTTCAGACCGTGAGACCAGACGACAAGAGGATCAGGGAAACGGCGGAGCGATAAGACGAGTAGATGACGTTTTTGAGGCTGACCATGAGAAAAATCGCGAGTCTTACTACGTTCCGACTACGACTCCTGGCGTGGGGGATTAGGATCCAGCAGAGGTCAAATTTAAAGTCGAGATTAAGGTCGGGAGGCAGACGGCCCAACAGGTCGTGGAGAAGGTTGAGCGCGGGTAGGATGGCAGGACAGAGGACGAAGAGGTGAATGAGGGTCCTTCCTCTCCGCACCATCTGTAACAGGGGGAGATGTCCGAATTCAGTTGATAGAGAACCGGAAGAGAGGGATGAGCGTTGTGAAGAAGTCAGAACTGGTTGTCTCCTTTTTTTTGATGTGGGAGGTTTGTTTATCTGGGTCCAGGGGATGGAGCGGTGAGGGTCCTTGAAAAGCTGATTCGGTGCCAGTAAGTTTGAGTTAAGGCAGGGTGAGAGTTGACAAAACGATTTTAAGGTGTCGTAAAGGGTCTTGGAAGAGAGCGAGAGTCCCTCCAGATCGGGAGCGATAAAGAAGGAAGTGGGCGAGTCTAGCGTCGGGGGGAAAGTGCGGAGAGGAACGGAACGAGAAAGGAGTCCGGAGAGGCCGAAGAGAGACGGGAAGGCAGTGCGCATAGGGAGGCGGATACGACAAAGTTAAAAGTCAGCGAGGCGGACGGAAGGACGGATTCTCGAAGGGGCGAGACGAAGATCTGCTTCCAGCTGGCGTCCGGTGGAAGGGTGCAGAAGGTGACGAACGATACTGATCCCGCAGGACAAGAGCCGCCAAACGGAATTCTCATCGTCAGCCGATTGAGTCAAGATGATACTATTAATCTGACGGTTATTAACTTGGGCGATTGAATCGGGAGGCACTTCAGTTTGAGCTCCGAATGCCGTCCAAGCACGCAATAGCTCGCTGTGGAATGGAGGGACGCGGACAAAAACCTTGGGATCGAGGACGATGTGGAAGAGGTACAGGTCTAAATAGATATTTTTAACGTTTCAAAAAGTAATTGATCATGGCATAAGCTGGATGAGGACAGACGTGCAGAAAACGCTGAATAGTAGACATTCTGCAGGCGAGCTTACTTGTTTGAAGGTAGGCAAGACCGAGTCCGCCCCATCAGGTCTTTCGTAAACTTGCGAAAAAGCCCCAAAACCTTAACGAAAACAAGACTTGTTTCGCCGAAACAGCTAAAACAGATAAAACA